TATTCCCATTTTACAAAACTGGTGTTTTTTTTTTTTTTAGTTTTCTGTTTTTAAGCCCAAATGTGTTCCACCATTTATAAATTAACCACTAAACCATAATTAAGCAATTAAAACTGAGTATACTCACCACAGCGCGACCCGCCGGCGTCCGATAGATATCACTGGCGCCCGAGAGGCTCTGAAAATATTTCTTTGTGCCGTAAACGGTATCCATTTTCGCGCTCCTTATGTAGTCTGCCGTGTTTGTGTATAATGATGTACAGTATAATGGTAGAAAAATATATTTCAGTCCTTAAATTTCAATACACTAGTGAACACTGAGCACGTCTTTATTATTTTCAAAACAAAAAAAAAAAAAAAATCAGTAATAATCGCTTGCAACGCAGTATTTTAAATTTCAGACGGATTTCGTAAATTTTCACATAAATAATATATTTGTTCACTGACACACAAGATCACATATGCGTGTAGATGAGCATCAGCGCTGGCCAGTGGCTGTGAGCGGCATATTGCTAAGAGAATGCCGGCAATTGCATTGTCATAACGTGCGTCACTCACACCGACTATCGTGCAACATAACAGCAACGGCGCTGAAATGACACCTGAGTCGCAGTTGCAAACGTCGCCAGTTGTATGCGTAACTGTGTGCTCCTCTCTGTGTGTGAGTGTGTGTGTTATGGCGCGTGGAACTGTATTGATAGCATCAACTAATGAATGCAGCGCAGCAAAAAAACAAATCGAAAAAAGTTGGAAAAGTGCAGCTGTTGCTGTTCACGCTTAATATGCGTAATGAAATTGAGCTGGCAGTGGTTTTCTTGTTCTTGTTGTTTTTGTTATCACTTGCACGCTTTATTGCTGCCACACTGCTCTGTGTTCTGTTGCCAACCGGCAGCGTTTCGGCTTGTAAGTTTGCTTGTTCCGTTGGTTTGTTGTTTGGAGGAGTTGTTACTGCTATTGTTGTTGTCGTTTTTTGCTTGCAGCATTAACATCAGTGTTCGTTGTCGGCGTTATGATGTGCGCTGATGATGAGCGATGAGCTGCCGCCGTTGGCTCTGTTTTTCAGCTACTCGCTGGATTTTCTGTTGCAGGTGAGCGCTCTAACTGCAGGTGAAGATATTTTGCAAAGTTTCTGTAAAAAAAAATATTTAAAAATTTGTTACTTTAAAATAATGATAGAGAGTTTAAAAAATGTTGCTTATACATATAATTTATTTCTATAAACTTTCATAATTTTGAATATAAGCAAAATTCGCATTAACCTCACAATTGACTAATTTCAACTAAAATCTTAAATAAAAGTCATAAAGTAAAGAAAAGTAAATTTAAAGTTTTCTCTCTCGTTTACTATTGCAGAATTTTGCTGGCCAATAAGTAAGGATCCGTTTGACGAATGTAGGGCCCTCAGCTACTTTGTCAAGCATCTCTTTTGCGAATTCTAATACACGATATTTTTGTAAAAGATTTAACTCTTTTGGTACTTGTCTAGCGTTGAGCCGATTTACAAGAGATTTTGAGATGTCCGTATTCAAGCAGATTCTTTTTTCAATTTTTTTTTTTTTCGATGGTTAAAGCAGTTGTCGAAAACCAATTTATAACTGACTAATATACGAAAATCAAACCTCACAAGAACATAAAAAAGTTGTCGTTAACACGACGTGTCAAGTTTTCTAACTCCCCTATTTTGTTTCCAGAATAGAGGTAGCTCAAATGTCTTGGATGTATAAGGCATAATATATAACAAGAGAAAAAATTGCTTTACTGAAAAACTTTAGGAACTTTATTCCTTTTCAGGTTATAATATTTTTTTCTCATAATAGTCATTTGAAGAAATCCTAGTTCCTTTATCATCATAGCAAATTAAGTATGACATCGAACAGACTTTGTATATTTTATATCCATAAAGGTCAAACATATATATATTATATATTCCTGTTTTCTGTATTTTCTGCGGTTATCCAATACTTCAAAAATTGGCAAACTTTAGAGCCATGTGTAGATGTTTACGCATGTGAGGAAAGTTTTCTGAGCGCTAAAAAAAATCCTTTTGAAAACGAACTAAACCTCCCAACAATATTTCAAAAATCGAATTCTATAATGTTTATTCTACCAATACATTACCGACAACAATCTGATTCGGGCATAAAGGTAACTAAGTTGACATATACTAATTTTTCTTAAAGTTTTCTTGGTGCATGGTGCTTTGGCTCTTCACAAATTTTTTGCAAATAATAACAGTCAGTAATCTTCTATTGACTTCTGCACGAATGTTTTTTAGAATTTTGTCAATTCTTTGAGGTTTTTTGGGCCAGAGATTGTGGTTCTAAAACAGACCGAAGAGATTAATATTAGATCTGGATGCCCAACTAGCTGATCTGCTGGCAATATTTCCTTTCTAAATATCATTTATATGGCCATAAATACCAATTATTTGACCGAAATGTGGACATTCGGTTTTTTGGCCTTGTGAAAGTTCACTAATGGATCAACTTTCTAAAGCTTGGAATTGCTAAAATACTAAAATTTGAAGATCCACCGCAGAGATAATATCGATTTTTGCGTTGATTAAAAGACTGAACTTAGAGAGCTTCTAAAATCGAACCTTTCAATAAAACCTATTTGTATATAAATGCTTACTTCAATAAATCATTCTTACATGTACAGCATTATGATATAGACTATGGAAATTACTGTTTTATTTGACATATGATCCATCACTTACTTATCAGATTCACCGGAAAGCATGTAAGATAAAAGGTGTATCGGTTTAAAAGTGGTAATGCCAACAAATGCAGACAATTTTCACTCAGAAATTCAATTTAACAAATCCAGACATATATATATACTACTGTGAGCAATAAATAATAGGACTCTTTTAAATGAATTTCGCGCAAAATACTTTATTATTTACGTCCAGAACGGCCATCAACATCAACTGATGGTCAGCACGTCAATAAAATAATATAATTGGTGCTCAAGATCGGACGAATCAAGGAAAAGGGTTACCACCGACCGGCCAAACTATCAACAAGGCATACTATTTGAGAGTTATGCGTCGTTTGCGAGAAGATATTCATGAAAAGTGGCCGGAATTATGGGCCGACAACTCTTGGCTTTTGCACCTCGATAAAATACCGTCGTATTCTGCATTCATTCTTCGTGCCGCAACCACTGCATTACCCTGATTTAGCCCCGTGTGATTTCTGGCTTTTCAGCGAACTCAAACGACCGCTTCGGAGAAACCGTTTTGATTTAATTGAACACATTGAACACATTAAACGTTAATCGCTAAGCGCATTGAAGCTATTCCGGAAGTTGACTTTAACAACCAGTGTTTCGGGGATTGAAAAAAAAGTTGGCACAAGTGTATTGAAACCAAGGGCGATTACTTTGTGAAGACCACAAAAACTGTTGAAGAAAAAATTTTTAAATTATGAACAAAGTCTAAACATTGTTTGCTAATAATAGTAGTAACTTTACGATTTTGGAAAAAATAGAGCAAAAAATATACTCGGCATAAGTGACCGAATAACTTTTGTGCTGGATTTTAAACTCTAAATGAGCCCAATAATTCTTTGTAGATAATTTTTTTTGTGGCTGTTCTAATTATATAACGATATAATGTAGAACTAGAGTGCAAAAATGAAGAATATATTTTTATTATTATGCGGTCAATTTGACCTACGACAATAGTCAACGGGTTAAAAGCGTTTTCAATAAAAAAAATCTTGAAGTACATGAAAATACTTTAAGAGATAAATAGCGCTGACCGACAGCTGACTGCTATCATTCCTTGCCTAATGATATCTCTACATACAAAAGTCCGAACTGATATATTTTATATTAATTTTTCAGCAACAACAAAAATATTACAAATTTAATTGAATTCAAGCACTTGAGGATTGCCACCCGCTATGTTTTATATTTACTTAATTGTCAAGTCACTTTATTTAGCCCGCAATTTACAGCAGACAACTTGTTTATTTTCTACAACAACTGGTAATATGATATACGCAACAACAAATGGGAATAGTTAGATAAATTGCAAGTCAGCGGGTTTAAAGGCCAGACAAGTAGTCAAGCCGCGCACAAAGTCAAACTGACTGACAATGCCAATATCACAGCGCCACAGCGAAGAAAAGTGGACAATCCTGTATATGCAACAAACAGGCGGCCGCAAGGAATGGCGGCAATGAAAAACTGCATGCGCAAAATGAAATAAAAATAAATTAAAAGCAGAAACGCTGCAGGGAAATTCTCACTTTTCGGTGAAAACTTCAGCAGCAACAAAAATAAACAACAACAACGACAAGCAAACAAGCACAATGCAACGCGCAAAGTCCAAGTCCAAGTCTAAAGCGCACAAACGAAGGCGTCACCCGCTTGGCGACAAATAAATGGCGAAGCAGGAAAAGTGAACAACAAGCCCGTGGAAGCGACCAGCAGCTGCCAACAAGGAGTTTTACCAAATTCTATGCTGCCACGACGGCGAATGCCCGCCTTTCTTTGTTGTTTGCAACAAAGTTGAGAACGAGTTTTGCGCGCGGCAAGCGCTAGTAACAAAACATTGCAAGGAGAATAGTGAAAATTTTCGGTGTAAAAAAAAAAACAGTAAATAAATTGCACATTCAAACAGCCAACAGCTTGCAATGCAATATGGACTATGGACACAATGATAGCAGCAACAAAGATTAGCGCTTCGTAAGACAACCTTACAACAAAGCAGCGCTGCTTAGTTACAAAGTTGCCTTTCTTGCCACATCTTAGATGGAGGAAATGCAGCTAACAGCCGCTAGCAACAGACAGTTAGTGGAAATTGGAGCAGAAGAGGTGAAGACTACTTAGCAGCGGGCGACAATGAGGCACAGCAACAAAAGCAATGCGCGGGCAGTAGAGATAAAGTTGTGTGATTAGCCAGCGGCTAATGGAGTAAAAGGAAATGGAATGTGTTGGCAAAGAGCATAAAAATGTGGAAAATGTGAAAAAAGTGAATAATAATACACAGCTAGTTAAACTAATATGAGTGTACATAAAGTTGGCTACACTGCGTTTTGTTGTTGAAAAAACTTATAATATACGCCGAAAATGTTTGCTTTGAATAAAACTTTAAAGCAAATTCAAAACTAATGCTCACTTCATTCATGCTCCTAAATACAAATAATACTACTGATATAGCGCAAAAAACATCAACTAATCGACATGCTAACATCACTCACAACGAATAGAGAACTTGCTTAAACCACTTAGTATGATATTTTGGCACTGGATCAGCAAGCCCTCTTCAGCACCCATACTGATAACAGGTGTATCGAGCTTCTAATTCGATTAAAGTATAAATAGCTACTATATCGCTCAGTTCGTATACAACTTTATTAATTAAAATAGTTTATGTTTTAATTGACTAAATTAAAATTTATTAATGAACTTAGTTAATCATAATTCATTAAATTAGCATTGCTAATATGTCAATGGACTCATTTAATGTAGTTACCTTGTCAACAAAAAAACACATGACTCAAAGTCATTCCTGACAAATTAAAAAATGTCTATGTTTGAATAGAATGGTCCTTTAAACCAAATAATCAATAACAAAAACTATTACCAACAAATATTATTTAAGACTAAATTAAAAATTTATAAAGTCCATTTATTAATTCACCTAATTAGTACTGTCAATTTTTTAATCCATCAAATTGATAGTATTTGTTATTGAATTAATGTAGTCACTTTATGAACAGACTGAATGAAAAATTAGTATTAATTAATGCTGCAAATGTCTTATCAAGTGAATTATTATTATTTTTTAATTGACTAAATCAATTTACCCGATTTATTAATTGACTAAATTAAAAATGATATTGTCAAATTTTGAATTCATTTCATAAATTATCAAATTCTAATTGACTTGATTAATTTACTCAATTTATTAATTAAGTTAATATTATCAATTAGTGAATTCACTCAATTAATGTACTCGATTTATTAAATTAATAAATTAGAAATAACATTAGTAAAATTCTAACTTATTAAATTTATATTATCAATTAGTTAATTGACTCAATTAATTTTGTTAACTTGCTAATTGACTAAATTGAAAATAATATTGTCAAATTTTTAAATAATTTAATTCAT